ATGACCAGTTTTTCGAAGCATTTAGCGACTATCGGGGTGAGGGCCACAGTTGAATGTGTCCAGTTGGACAGAAGTCTCAGCTGGTTGGACAACAAGGATGAAACGCCTCATCTCATGATAAACTTTCAGCCACAAGATGGCGCCAAAGAGGAACAAACTTCAAGTCATGAACCCTTTTCTGAATTATTAAAAAAAAACTGTCCAGGTGACCTGACTGAAAAATGTTGGATTGTATACCTGGATTATTGAGCATGGACTTGTTGGTCCTTTTCTGAATCATTTGCTGCTTCTAGAAGATGGCTGCGCTACAACTTACAGGAAATGTTTTTCAGATTATCCGTCTGAAAGAAACTTTATTTTGTAATTCACGTGTGGCCATGTGGATGCTTTAAATAGTTTGATATGACTCGAACCAAAATGTTTGTAAGATCCCACCTGTAACGATGCTGCTTCCTCTCCTGAGGCTCCGCCCATTGAGGAGTCACAGGTGTTCATCATCCCAGCCAATCAGAGACGGAGAGGAAACAGGAAGCTGCAGACATGCACAGGTGGATTAATAATTCAGACCCTCACCTGGAAACAGTTTTCACTAACCCAGACTAATCTGACGTGTCGTCACAACTAGACGTTATGATCACGTGAGTTTTACATTCTAAACAACAGGAAGTTTATTTCAAGACGAATTGCTTCAAGTGCGCGAATAATTCTGAGAGGAAACATCTGAGAGGAGCGTGCTCGTGAGGATGAAGGTGTGAATCTCCGCAGGTTCTGTCTCTTGCAGAAAAGTTTTGATGCTGTTAAAGATGGCTGACTCTGGTGACGTCACGTCTCACCAGGTCACGTGCAATGTTCGAGGATGCGGAGACTCCTGCTGTTCTCCAGCAGAGGTCGCTGCTTCCTCTGAGACAGGAGGCCAGGTGAGACAGGAGTCCTGCAGGTAAGACAAACCTTTGGAAACTTCTGGATTATTCAGCACCAGCAGTGAGTTACTTTTTCCAGCAGAGTAACAGAAGCTGGAGACGTCACGGCTGGCCTGTCGCCATGACGACCGTCAGGCAGATACCACCGATGGTTACGCTCAGACTGATGCTGGAGATGTTTTAAAGTGAGAATCTTCTTGTTCTGTGAGCTCTCTGAGCCCAAACACACACACACACACACCTCAGATTACAGAGATGAGAAGCACAGGAAGCAGAGGCGAAGTGAACATCTCTGCACGCTGGAGAGTTTTTAAAACTGAGATCAAAGAGACGAAGATCCAGAATCAGAGAAGTGCACGGACAGAACGAGGTGAGGAGGTCTACCTGGTGACGAGTGGGATGGAGCGAATGGTCGGTCAGAGCTCCTCAGATGATCGTCTGCAGCTGCTCTCAACACAAACTCATGTGTCAGTGAGAGGAAGTGTGTGTGTGCGTGTGTGTGTGTGTGTGTGTGTGTGTGTGTGTGTGTGTGTGTGTGTG